CAGAACGTGTGGTACGTTTCTCGGTAATACCGAAATCTAGTAATTTTTGCTGTAAAATTTTCTCTGTGTGTGTGTGTATATAATGCAGTATCGTGCATGAGCGACATCTTACTCGAGGACACGGTGCGCTTGATTATCGTTATCATGTTATTGTGTTATACATTTGTTCGCGATCCTGCTCCGACGAGAGAGAGAGAGAGAGAGAAGAAGAGTCGTTCCGCGGTGTCTTCCTCGCATTCGTGGCTCTTTCGCGATCGAACGACGCGGATATCGCTCGATGTCGCGTGTTTCTCTTATCGAGGCCGAGAGGAAAATCGACCGATCGCGTGACACGCGATAGAGAGATTAACACGTGTTGGAGGAGGAAAATGTATCCGGTTGCGAACGATGTTGAAATTAAAGAAACTCGAGCGGAAGAGCCGAGCGCGCGCGAAAAAAAATTGAGCGGGCGTGCGAGCGAGAGAGAGAGAGAGAGAGAGAGAGAGAGGAATTTTATATCTCTCATTGTCTCGATTGTCGAGATTGTTACGAACGCAGATCATGGCGCACGATTCCCCACGTTCTGCCTGGTCGATCCGCAATCGATGATCGAGGAGGAAAGGAAAGATGCACGGCGATCGCTGCCTCGCGTCCGCTCTTGAGGCTGCCGTTTCCTCGTTTAAGCGTCGAAAACATCTTCGCCCGAAACACTTCTTCGCGATTCGAGCTACTTTCGACTTTCCTTCCCGATTTCGATCTTAGGAAGTTCGTTCGACTTCGCGTCGACGTCGCCCGGCTCGCGTTTGTCCAGCGTTTTAATGCAGTAATATGTTTACATAGTGAGATATATATATATATATATATATATATTATCGATGAGGAAAGAAAGAGTCGGTTTTACAAAGAATGAAACGCGATGTCGGGGGGATCGACGCGCAGGAATCGCGAAGGGTTGAACATCGCGCGTCTCCGGTGAGAAATCTGCACACGCGCGTGCGATGTCGGTGTTTCCTTCAACGCAATTCTTAGGACGACGACAATGATAGCGATTACGTGGTGGCGGCGCCAATTTCTCGCAATGATTCAGATGCGGACGAGAGGACAGGTCTTCTACGGCGTTTCTACCATCTGCAAGTGTATTTAAGACGCGAGAGCGTAGCATCCTCGCCCGTACACGCGACGTCCCCCGGGCTCCTCACACGACAACACTCCCTTCTGGCAACCTCCCTCCGCCCTCATCGTTTCCTTCACCCGAGAGAGGCAGCTCTATATTCCGTTATATAGATAGTAAACGCTACCGTAGAGAATAATGCAGAGATTCGATCCGTCGAATTGTTTCTCTTTGTAAGTTAGTTCATAGCGCGGAAACGTCTTTTCCGGATCTTCTGTCGGTAGCGTAAAAGAGTCATCGGTATTTTAGCGTTGTTATGAGTGAATGAGCGAGCGAAAGAAAGAAGAGAGAATGTGTATGTGTGCGTACGCGTATGTATGGTGTATGCGCGAGAGAGAGAAAGCGGGAGGAAGGAAACAGTTGATATCGTTAAATTTGGGTCGGAAATAACAACAGGATGGAGCACCTTAACTTGATCGCACTTCTCTCTTCCTTGCGACTGCAAGCGGAATATCGCCGTGCGATGTTTTGTGTGATTTCGCGCGAAGAGAGATCGGAGAAGCGGGTGGGTGTTCCTTTCGCGTCACGTTCATTTTCGGAGATGATCGTAACTGAAATAATCGTAATCACGAACGGCTTTGCTCTCTCATTCCGTTCTCCTCAAGGCGCTCGGGCGAGAGCCCAGGGTAAATGGCAGCTTTCAAAGAGTCCACGATTTCACATACCGATGATTTGTAATATAATGAGATCCTTCCCGTGATGTTTTTTCGTCCCTCTCCTTTTTTTTTTTCTTTTATGTAAGATGTTTATAATAAATCGTAAGAGTATATAACGTGTATTGTTACACTTGTGAAAATTCCTCGTAACGTCGTAACGATTCTTTCGAGCCCTTAACGCGTTAGCATTCTATTCAGACATTGCTCAATACTTTTACATGTCTTCTATATAAACTAAGCGTGAGACCGCTGTCTGTGTATAAAGAACAAAAAATGTAGAAAAAAATGAAGTTATGGGGATTTTTCATCAAGACGCACGTCGCGAACGATAAAAACATTGATGTAGCATGTGTGCGAGATTATATAAAAAAAATTTAAGTAATATATATATATTACTTTTATATATATATATATATATATATATATATAAATATGTAGACACACGTTCTCTCTTCTCGCATTCTTTGCAACCACAAGCCAACAACACTCTTCTGCTCGAACACTCGAGTCGAGATCTTGATTCAATCGGTCTCAACGAGATCACACCCTCAAGAGAAAGAGCATCCTCTACTTCGTAATTTATATATCATATCTTCGGAAATAAAATAGAAAGAAAAATGATACCGATTATTCGTAAATAGCGTTTTAACGTTCGGTCTCGTGAAAGATCATGTAAGACGCGTACTATAAAACGGAACCGCACCGTTGCGTTCGCGTTGTTTTACTACTTCGCTGTGAAAACCTTCCGGACACCACCTATTATCGACACCTACGAAGCGACCCGACACTTTGATACTGCCGCAGTAAATCGTGTACCAGTCGTACCTGCATTTCCTCGAGAACCATGGATGTCCGGATGTAGTGTACATATAGAAGAGGATCGCACGCGCAGTTTACACGTTTCGCTTAGGCGGTCCGCCAACTGTCCTAGAGCGCGAATTAAACGGCAAGTATATAGCGTCAATCATGTACACGTGATCACGATGTGATCCCGTAATTTCCGAGAAAATAAAATAAAACAATCGCGCCTAACGCGGCGATCAAAGTGTCGCGTTCAATCGTTCAACACAAAACACGTTCGCCTAACGTAGACATTTTCACGGTAGCTGATTGCACATTTAATCTATGTGGGTGTGTGTGCGTTCGTCACTTTAAGCAAGGTCTAAGGTAGTAGGCATCGCAACGGTTAGCTATTTCCCTTTTACGGTATGCAATAAAATACGACAATGTACGTGTCAGTAGAAAGAAAAAAGGGGTACTTTAAGTATTGAAGCGCCAGCCGTTTCACCTTGTATACATACGTAGAGCATATTTGGAGAGATATTTATATAGGTAAGAGATGGGGGAAGGAAGAAAGAGAGAGTGTGTGTGTGTGTGTGTGTGTTGAGGGTGGAAGGGAGGGGGAGAGAGAGAAAGAGAGAAGTTTTACGCCGGCCAATGTAGCCGTTCAATATACTCCATAATCGCAGATTATATGACTTCCGATTTCTCGCCTGTCACCGACTATGAAAACGTTCTATACGATCACCACTCACTCACTGTTTAACTACGCCACATCCTTGTCCATCTAGAGCATATCCGTGTGTTCAAGTACAACGTGTTCAAAGCCACAGTTACGCGAAATCGTCGCTTTATTACCACTTGAAAGAGAGCTCCGCAAATTTTTAGTGTGAATGTTTCCGTTTCTAAGTAACTATTAATAATAATAATAATATTAATAATAATAAAGTACAGATAAATATAACAAACGCGCGCGGGGAGGGAGGATATGAGAAAGAAAAAAAAAATGCAAATAATTATAACGATGTAATATTAATTAGAAGATGGCGATCAATAAGTTATGAATTTTTGTAGCATACGTTTTTATTTTGGTCCGCCAGGCCAGTCTGTGTGTACAACCGTGAAACGACGTTACTGCGATAAGAGGAGGAAGAGAAAAAAAAAAAGAGAAAAGACAATGTTAAAGGAAATATGAAAGAACAAACATCAAATGTACTGTAACTTTTTGCATTTAGTATATAATATATACCTACCTTACTACCACAAAACCCCCCTATTAAGTATCACTTTATTTGTCGCAGCGTGCGCGTGCGTCTTTTACATGTCACCGTACGAGGTTTCACTGAATTTCGAACAAAGCCGCGCTCTCCTCCGCAATCCATTTCCGGTCGATCCGTTGATATTTGTACGCAGCACCCGTAATTAAGTGCATCACCGTCCGTTAGTTTCGCTGTAGACTGCGATTTTTCCGTCTTACGATCGCGCGTTTTCTCTTCCTTCCATTCCCGAGGGGGAAAATTAAATTTTCCAACTCTTGGCCTGAGACTCAACATTGCGAGATAAATCACCACGCGTGAGATAGTACGAGGGTGGTCCTTGAAGTACCCGACCCAACAAAGAAAACACAAAAATTTTGGAAAAAAATGTATTTATTTTTCAACATAATCTCCTTTCAGCTCTATACACTTGTCCCAGCGATGTTCAATAAGTTCGATACCCTTTTTATAATAAGAACTGTCTTGCTTCTCAAAATAGCCATTAACTGCCGACATCACTTCTTCATCGTTGGAAAATCTTTGACCACTGAGTCATTTTTTCAAGTTTGGGAACAGAAAATAATCCGAGGGGGCTAAATCTGGCGAATAGGGCGCATGAGGTAGCAATTGAAACTTGGCTAAACACTCAATTGAAACATCTTCACGACACTGTTTTTACTCGAGTGTGAGCCAACGCGGCACCCATCTTGCACACAGCTTTCTCATGTCCAAATTTTCAGATAATATGCGATGTACCGCACTTTTTGAAATGCCTACTATGTCTGCTAGCTCGCGCACTATCAGTCGACGATCATCCAATACCGCTTTGTGGATTTTCTTCACCATTTCTGGAGTCGTCACCTCATTTGGTCGACCACTGCGATGCTCGTTTTGGCAGCTCGTACGGCCTCGTTTAAACTCTGCTGCCCAATATTTTACTGTTGTAAACGAAGGAGCAGACTCACCCAGAGTAGAATCCAGTTCAACTTTTATATTGGTTGGGCTGAGGCCTTTCAAATAAAAGTATTGTATCACATAACGATGACTAATTTTCTCTATTTTCACAAATTCACTGAAAACGTTCATTATTGATGACTGCCAAACAAATACTAAACAACGTGGCGTCTTCAAACTTGAAACATATGCTTTATAGATTATGTACTTTCTAATACAGTGATATTTTTTCCAAAATTTTTGTGTTTTCTTTGTTGGGTCGGGTACTTCAGGGACCACCCTCGTACGTAATAGTAATTTACACAAATTACAGGACATATTTTATTTTCATTATATACGCATTGATTTATTACAATGCATAATTTCTTATATGGACTATTCACGACGAGAAAAGTTTCAGTGTGCGTAGGCGGTAACGCAATACGAAACTCGTTCGGCGGCCGATGCCGTTAATCATTAATTAACGAACAAAGACTGAAGCCGCTATTTCATCCTCCGACTGCTGCAGCTATAGGTTGTTACATTAACGTCTCATTGCTCCAAGTTATATTTATTTGTTTATTTAAATTTCTACAACGTAAGGTAAACCTTCTTCTATACTTTCGTGATAATTTCTGCTACACTCGCCCGTCCTACTTCCGTTTCAGTGTAGTCCTGGTACAGCTGAAAGGAACGAATCTCTCACCACCGAGTGTCCCCGGGGAAGACGATCGATCTCCGTCGAGCGGGAAGACGCGATCGCGTCGTTTATGCGCGTGCCACGCATTACGTAGGACGACGGAAAGAGTTCACTCGGGGGGTGTAGGAAGGAAGAAAAAAGGCGCGAGAGAGATGAGATCATCATCTCGTCTCCGCAGCGTTCGGCAGCGCGCGGCGATCGGCTCGCCGCGGCCCGCGCGTGTCGGCGCCGCACTGCGACGGGCAGTCAGTACCGGTCCAGCGACCGATTTGGAGGGCTGTTCGATTCTTCTTGCGGACGCGAGGAGGGAAGCGCCGAGCGAGCGACGCGAGTTGTCTTGGTCGAAGAGAGTCAGCGCGAGGTCGGTACTTGCGATCTTCTTCTCACATCGTCATTTTAACGCGCGATTTTGAAACGATGCTTGTGGAAAACTTAGGATCCGCGATCGCTGCTGCCGATTAATGTGTAAGAATTTTGGCGAATAATTGATCGCGTCCGCACTCTCGTGATGAAGGATTCGTGTCGTAAGTAACGACACTTCGGGTTACCGATGGTTATTTCAAACCTCTTCCAAGAGAGATTACTCAGATTTGAATTTAGATCTGGATGAGTTTGACAGGTGAATCACAATGTCACGTGTATCATGAAACGAAAAAAAAAAGAACTTACGGAAACTCGGATCTAAATTGAAATTCAAATCTGAGTATTTTTCGCGCGGCCGAGATTTCAAACGAAAGAAACTTCCAATCGACAGAGATGAATCCCCTCCGGACGAAAGTCGACTCGATTGCAAAACTGTGACGTGGTCATCCGCGAAAGGTGAATTGGCGGGTGTCTTGGTCCTCGCGCGACCAAATTCGGCGATTTCTCGGCCGCGTTGACACACGAATGATCGCGGCACCGTGTACATATTGGGATATAAGCAGATATGGTCAGTCATAAAAAGATTGCGACACTTTTTCCCGATGAGTTTCGCAACGTATTTCTCATCCGAAAAGAAAATATAAAGTAAAAGTACCAATACTTGGATACATACCTAACTCTAGACAAGTTTTGTCGCTTTGGTCTTTAAATACGAATATTTAAACTTTTAATATATACAAACATTTTATATTTAACGATTAAACGTTCGTACTCAAAGACCGAAACAACACAAGAATGCCCACAATGAAGTACATTATCGGTACGTTGTTATCACTCAGGTATTAATACTTTGAATTTATCTTCTGCGAATGATTAAAAAACAAATTCTCCTATTAGACACGAGATGTGTTGCGAAACTTATAAAAAAAAAAACGCAGTCCTTTTGTAACATTTTCTGTAATAATTGACCATACCTGAAGCGCGTCGTGATCGCAGCGTAGGTACGCACGAAAATGAGATCGCCGGTCGTTTACATCGTCAGGATTCAAACTCGAGAAAAAGAGAGAGGACCCTTTTTGCCGTGAAACCTCTTCCGTGACCGTACCTTTGCTATTTAACGAAATCCCTTCGCCTTTTTCATCGCGGAAACGAGTTCCCGCCGCCGAGTCGTCACGCTGGTGGATCGCGTGTTTGGAAGCGTGCGGCAACACGTTTCGCGCGAGAAATTAATCGATCATTGTAACGCGATTCGCAACGCGAGAAATGCCTTCCGAGCCTCTCGTATTAATTTTCGCATAGCGTTCGTATGAGTCAGACTTTTTAACAGAACTGCATACGCAAGTGGATGTGTTAACGCGAGCGAGAGCGCGCGCACGGTGGGCGTATCTGTAACTGAATTATCTTCTGTCATGTGTATTTCTCGGAAATTCTCCTGCCTGGAACGGAAATCCAACGTTCTTTGTTCCCTTTGAATTGTTGCCGCTAATTACTACGAATTGAAAACAAATATTATCTTTCTCTTCCCCTTCTGCCCCTCCCATCGATTTTCTCACGAATATCGCGGAACGATTTAGTGTTGTACTTATAGTTGTTACGTTGTTAGTTCTTTAGATGTTGTCGTCGCAAGTGAAAGAATTTGCTCGAAAAGTCGCGCGATTTTCGCGCGCAATACTCGCAACTTTCTATTATTAGAAACGGCTCATAATAGAAACGACGTTTTGTACGTGCACGCCTGGGACGAGTTCAATCGTGCGACCTTTTCTTATGCCATTGATATTGTGTCGCAATCCTTCCCAAAGTTCAAAACTCGATCCGATAAGGAAACACTGCAAGTGCGTGTCGTCTCTAAGATCTCTATCCGCTCGAATGTAAAATGCGCGCATCCTCGTCGTTTCTAGACAATTCAAACGTTGATTAACACACGTATTTTCGAGAAGATAAATTACACCGCGCTGGAACACTCGTTCCTTTTCCTCTCAACCTTAGTATCCGTTTCGCTCTATAATGGCAAACGTTCAAATGGCCAAAGTGCAGCCTAGTTAAGCGAAAACGTGTAGACGCTCGAGTGTACGCGCAAAATTACAACAACGTCGATATTGCTCGTTAAAAGCACGTTAAAAGCATTTTCGTCCCTCTCCTCGGAGAGGATTCGCCCACGTTACGGCGAACGTGATCGGTGACGCGATAAAAAACGGACCGTGCGATTCCTACGCGGAGCTCGCCTCTGCGTTCGCATCGAGCCGCGTGACGCTTCGCGAGCGCGCTGCGCCGCGACGACTGCGCGAATCGCCGGGGGGAGCCGCTCTTCTTCGGCTGATGCCCGGAGTATCCAGACTTTAACCTATTACGTGGAAACTTCAGTTTTCTGCGTCTCACACGTGGGCGCGCGCGTACCGTGTCCAATAGGAAGATGTATTTCCTGAGAATTATCGAGAAACAAATTCTCTTATCGGACACGAGACGCGTTGAGAAACTTGAAAAAAAAAATGTTGCAGACTCTTCGTAACTGACCATCAGGGTGAGATTCACCCTTCAATTCCGAGTGAAAATATTCTCTCTCGACGGTTCGGATTTCATTCTATATGAGTGAAAAGTCGCTCGAATTCGAGCGAGGTCTCGCGACAAGAAATCGAGAGAATGATCTTTCTCTACCGATGATTTCGGAAAGACGTGATCTCTTCAGATATCGGTTTTTTCGTATTTCGTGGCATTAATCGTTCAGAAATCACACGACTCGCAATTGACGGCTCCGTACAAATATTCAAATACCTCGATGGATTCGATCACGCATTTATAGCGTTCGCGAAATATACAATATCGCGGTTCTTCCTCAGATAAGATTAACTTCCCATTGCGTCGTGACTAATTTGATGGATCAACTTAGTGCCTCGTAATCGCGAATCAAGAGCAGTGAATGAAGAATACAGAGTTCGCACGCACGCATGCCGTTTATAGACGATACGATCGTTTGTTTTTATGTTAAACAAAACCTAACGCCGAGATAACATCTGAGGATGTGATCTTGCGCGTATAGATAGAGAAGTGTAATTATACACATCATAATAAGGCAGCATAATAGTGATAACCACAGCTCTCTACATTCACACGTGCTTTGTATTTTATTTCTAATTTCATTGTTCATTTCATTTCTTCCCCTTAATTTCTCATTTCTTTTATTCGATGTTAATTCTCCTTCCTTTTTAACACGAGAACACGAAGGTTCCCGGTCGAGTCCCGTTTCAGCTTTTCATTACTTACACTCGCACGATCCTCCCACATCGGGAGGAAAAAAAGCGCATGCTTTAATCGCTTTAAAGTCGAGGGAATTCACGAGCTGATCGAAACCTCGGCTTAACGAACCGCGGACATCTCGAGTCGTAGATGCAATTAGACGGAATTAAGGATCGCGTCGCAGTGAGCTGCGTAACACGTTTAACTCGCAGATGACGGAACAGGAAACGGCCGCCGTTTTAACGGCCGAGCTCCCGATACGGCGTCGGGATATTTATTTGTGCGTCGATGTTGCGTGTATATACAAACGTCACGACTCTTCTGTAAATATTTCAAACATGTGCGGGCCGACTCACTCCCGATTCCTCTGGACGATAAGTCGCTTGTCGTCGTGATAAAAAATTAATGGAATCCAAAATAGCGCTCGACGAAAGACGAGAAGGAGCGTCCCCCGTATTATTTATCTCCCGTCGACATATTTTTTTCCTCTGTCTCTGTACATTATTATCTCTGTATCACTCTGTATCTTCATTTCGTCAATTCCTACATTATATACTACATTATCTTCTATTATTTTTCCCAGGTAGATTATTTCGATTGTTTCACGATTCAACTTTCCCAGCAGGATGACTCTTGCGCTCTACAAATGAGATGAACAAATTATAAATCAACGGGGTAATGTTTATGCATCGAACGACATTTCGAAGGCTGAATTGCACCGTATCAGCCGTGTGACTTTCATGTCTTCCGTTATCGCTGAAAATGCGACAGTAGAGGCGTGTAAGCCGCTCAGTAAAATCGCCCATCGAACATCAGTTGTACATTACATTTATATTATAATTTCTCTCACTCAACACATAACACGTGTGTCATATATTGCATTTACATTGTTGGGTGGAAAATCAACATGTTTACTGGCTGATTGTATCATCCTGTACGCACCCCTGAAAGATGACGAGCGTAGGTCGCGCGCAAATCGCGACAGACCGAGCGAAAACCCGCAGTCGCGGGTTAAAGACATGCGCGGTCCGTCCGGATGCTACTGAAACAGCGCTTTTTAAGTATCTGGGTTATCGCTTCGTTGCTCTTATTAAGGCGAAAGGCGAGATTTATCACGTTGACCCGCACGCAAGCGATTGTGCGTGCGCGCGTGTTCACACCGAGCGTAATATATCTTTCTAAACGTTATAACTAGGATTGTGTCTGCACGATTTCCAAACCTTATATATTGCATGCACTACGTCATAGGAATGTCTGAATGCGGAGCATTCTACGAAAGGGTGGTCTAATAAGCGATAAAGTTACGGCTGATTCGGTCGCGGTTTCTTTGGATGTATATTCGTTTTTACAATCAGCTCCTGCTGGTTAACTACGACGTTTGCGACGAGCGGAAGTAGCGTTTCTTAAAGGATTTGCCACGTCAGTGTGTTGTGACATGTCAGATGTATACCGTAAGATTTACACAAAGTCAGCAAGCTGGACGGCCCAAAGTGCCATACATTTTTCTTCACTTTATTATTTTCTTCTTGTATGTCGACGGCTAAAATCATAAATTCTGCAAATACGTCAAATACGCCGCCATTACCTCGGTATAAATTCACGGAAATGGCGCGAATGAAGAAATCGGTCGGCCTGATCGCGTGAAGAAATGCGATCTATCTTTTACGTCGACGCACCACCACCAATCGCATTGCGACCGCCGATAAAAACGCGGGCACGCGCGAGAAATGATGGCTGATTTATTTACTTGTACCGCGGGCGAGCTCACGTAACCGATTTAGCTCGGCGGGATATTAACCTCTTTCGTCGTAGTTGGAACTTGGAACCGTTCCGAGATTAATTCCCCCCGAAGTCCCTCGGACGCGAGAACGCGAGAACCTTCGATTTGTCATATTACGCGAAAGATGGATGTGGATGAATGGGCGAGGCTCTCTCTCTTTCTCGCGTGCGATATAACGATATTACGTGAATTTTTAAAGTAGAAAATGGTGCTGAAGCAAAAGGGAAGCGGAAGAGAGAGAGCCTGATAAACAATGAAGCCCACGCGGCTCAAATTTCTAAATTAGCATCCTAAAGCGTCCTATTTTTTACATCCTCCTTTTAAAAGTTTGTGCTGTTTATAAATATTTTATGTGTATATCTCGTAGACGCGTTCTCATTTACATTCAAAAAACATTTCAAAGATATTACCGGATAATGCGGACTCCTTTAGGATCGACGTTGTGAAGATGTTTCAGAAATATTGAAGTGACAAAGTTATTCATAATGTTGATGCCGATACAACGCTAATTGGTCATCGATTTGTCTCAGAGATCGCAATGCGGACGAAGCTGCAGCTGCTGTTGGTCGCGCTGCTCTTGGCAGTGCTGATAGTGGACACTGCATCTGCCCAGGTATCACAATTATTTTAACGATACAGAAAAAGATTGATCGAGAATTAACGTGACAACGAACGAGCCGAACGCTTTTCGGTTGAAGCAAAATTCCCGGTTCCAATAAGCGAATTTGATGAATGAAATTCAGAAATTCTGTTTCCTTCAATCAAAGTGCGTTCGATTCGATCGTTGTCAACGTTAATTCAAGCAATTGTTTTCCTCAATACACGTGCGACAGTTTTTGACACGTAAAATTTTCTATAATCGTACAACAAAGAAGAGATATTTAAATCGAAATTTAAATTTTGTACATTTTTACAAGATAATTAATCGCGTTTCATTGCAAATAGCAGCGCAGACGGAAATATCGACGTCGAAGGACCACGACAGAGGCACCCGTGCAGGATGAGATCATGAACATGCTGGAAGCTGACGAAATGGCCGAGGAGGCGGCGTCGGCTGACGCTGAGCTCACTCTCGAAAATGGCAGAAACGAGGTTGGATCGAAGCAGCAGCGTTTGCTCCTGGCGGACCCGTGCACGGATAAACACTGCGGCGCTGGTCGCGTTTGCAAGGTTCGTTGAGGAGGAGCCTTCTTTGCATGTAAATGCAAATGGGGAGAATGATTATGCGTAGATTCAGGACATACGGCAAATAAGCGATTCGAGAAACGTTTTCCGCTATTTACCTCCCTTTTTTCTCTTAATCACCCAATTTATTTAGATTTGAGACTTTTTTCTATTTTAGCCATATATATATATATATATATATATGATATTTGTATTTGCAGTTGTGATTCAACTAAAATATTCATATCTAAGACTCGTATTGATAGTCGTTACTTGAAACTTGTCTCATGCGAGACACTCAGATTTGAATTATAAGTTAGATTTGAGTTTTTTTAAGACAAATTGCACGATACATGTGATATTACGTTTGTAATCGCGATTCAACTGTAAAATTTATGTCGAAATCTGAATTTGAATATCTCACTTGAAACTTAGTAACACAGATAAATTAATAACACAAGTGACGACTATTAATACAGGTCTTCTGCATTCATTCGTATTTTTAGATCTTTCTCTCGCTAATAACTTCCAATATTTACCAGTCCGAGTGCAATCGGGTCGAATATAGAAATAACGGTACGCTCCGAGGTGAAATGTTAATTTCGATTTTGCCGAGTTCTCGAGAAGCGGACAAGTGAGCACGAAGTAATTCAACCTCTTCGATTTCAGAGTACGGAGGAGGGTACGGCCGAGTGCGTTTGCGTGGAAGTCTGCAACCAGGAGGTCGATCCCCGTCGCAAAGTGTGCAACAACTACAACGAGACCTTCGGCAGCGACTGCGAGGTCTATCAGGCGCGTTGCTTCTGTGACACTGGTGACGCCAGGTGCAGAGGCTCTGATTATCAGCACGTCCACATTGTGTATTACGGCGAGTGCCGACAGATACCTGTGAGTATATTCCATCACGCCATGACGGAACGGACACGCTCGAGAAACCGCATCTCGCCGAGTAAATTGAAAACAGCGAAATGTTCAGATCACCCGAGGGTCTTTCTTTCACTTTTGGATATCCGATTTTGCAAATTGTCCAATTTCTCAAATTTAACAAACCATATTTTCGTGTTAGCGAATTCTACCGGAAGGAAAGCTCCTCTTTTTGCGAGAGAGTCGACTTTGTACCTGATTCTTATATACTCTCCTAAGATAATTATTATAACATATATCTCTTTACAATTACTTTTTTATATATAATATTCGGAATTTATTAATGTTAATAATTTATTTTACCGATAACATTTAAAATAAAATAATCATCATCATAATTATTATGAACGAGATTTCACCTTAAAAACATCGCTTCTTCAACTGCTAAATCAGCTTGTTGATGTGTGCAGGCCTGCCAGGAGGATGATATGGCCGATTTCCCCAGACGAATGCGCGACTGGTTGTTCAACATCATGCGCGACTTGGCGGATCGTCAGGAGCTGCCGTCGCATTATCTGAAGATGCAGCGCGAAGCCGAGACGAATCACACGTTGCGCTGGGCGAACGCGGCCATCTGGAAGTGGTGCGATCTGGATGGCCACCCGCACGACCGAGCTGTGTCCCGTCACGAGCTCTTTCCAATCAGGGCGCCTTTGATGGCGCTCGAACACTGTATTGCCCCCTTCTTGGATTCCTGCGACGCTGATAACGATCATAAGATCACGCTGATCGAGTGGGGCAAGTGCCTGGAGCTCGACGAGGTATGTTTTTCCTAACTTATATTATTCTCGATAACTTTTCCCATGCCGTCAAATGAAAACGGAATAATAATTAACTTTCTTATCAACCGATGTTTCTTCTCTCTCTCGAGAACTATTCATGCGAATCTTTTTTACTTCTCGTTATCGGCTAGATAACGTCAACAAGAGGTGCCAAACTTGCACATTGAAAAAAAAGTGGTAGAATCAACGAAATTTTGCTGAAACAAATAAAATCTGTTCAAACGCAACGTTTAGTCTATTGAAAACAAAAACAAATTGTACAGTTGCTGTAATAAATTATCAATTCAATGCTTGCCATTTGGTCAGAAACTATATTTACACAACATATCATTATTGCGCCAACGATTATATTTGTTCAGTGGTCACAATATTTTCTTGAATGAAGGTAACCGCCGATTTTGTCGATTTAGTTACTTTTTTTCTCAAGATCCATAAGTCATTATGTCTACAAATAGCCTCTGCTTTTTTATCTTTCATATTGATCGTTTAATACACGTATCAAATGTACATCACAAAACATCCCAATTGCAATGTCCCCTTTTGTGTCAATCCTTCAAATTTTTTATCAGATCCCTGGGAAACGGGGTCAGTTTTCTGTATTCATAGCACGTGTTTCCTCGATCCGTAAATATATTGTAATATAAATGTCACGGTTAAATCATCGTGTGCAGCGCGGGCGGCACGCTTGTACATGAATACGGTTGTTATCCTATCGTGCGATACGAAATCTGTGAAATGAGACTTTGTAATGTATTATTTACCATTCAGTTACTTTATGCGACAGATACGCGACAAATGTGTACATACATATGTGCGTGTATGAGATATAAAAGCGTACAACACTGCCCCCCCGACTAATAAGATAATCGTTTGGGCTAGGGTACGGTCCGTCTAATGTTGCAAGTGTTTCAAAGCCTTCTTTTTTTCACACATTCGGAATTCGATTACGACATTGTAGAAAGATTTGAAGCGTCTAATGGACTTTGCCTTAGCTTTCAAATAGATTCGGGTTCTTCTGCATTCTTGCTTTGCGAGCACACGAGGAATTCAATATCCGTTCTAGACGTGACTTTTATATTTAATCGGAACCTTACGCGCGTCTCGCAAGTAAACATTTCTCGAGGCATTATTTTGTATGTAAAGAATAATTTGCTTAGATATTTACGTTAATATATACGTTGATATATATTCTTTCTTTGAGTCCTGGTCCTCTTTTTGGGAAATTTAGCATTATCTCATCCGAAAGACACTAGATGAACATAAATAATGTTTCAAAAGTGATTTTGGCGGGAAATAATTAAAAATCTTTACTACGGAAGATTGGAACAAATTGACGAGAATTCAACTGTTTGCTTTTTTTTTTCCAAGATAAATAAAGTACAACTACAATCAGATTACTCTAAAACGCTTTACTAGACAATGCAGATAGATAAATAGAGATATCTTTGTTTATACATATCTGTAAATATTCGCCGGGACTCGAGGAGTTGAGTAATCGGACACGCTGTATACTTACGCGCCGCCGTACAATACACACGCAGCACTCGACGGGCACTCGAATATCTCGCGTTATCTTATCAGCACAATGCGACCCGAGTATAATGTGAGAGCAACGGCGAAAATAATCATTTCAGGACGACATAGACGACAAGTGCGACGAGCTGGTGGAGGCGCAGCACGAGCACTATTAGAAACGCTTCCACTTCCTCGACGACGGGCGCGATCAGGACGGAACGACGGAACAATAAGCAGGACGACAAACGGTCGAGGGCGCAAAGGACCGGGCAGGTGACGCGCAGAGCGGAGGGAGAGAGGGAGGGCAGAGCGATACACGACGGGCCGAGTAAAAATGGCGGGAAAAATCGTGGCCTGGCGCTCGCATCGACGCGGCCAACGCGCAGGCTCGGCGCGCATCGACGAGTCGATACCGCGTCGCGCGCGAGAGAGGCATCTCTCCGGTGCGCCTTCGGTATACGTGCCAACAACAAGCCAGTGCCGCCGACTTAGGGCCGCCGCGCCTCAATAATCCAAGCTCTCTCGTCGCCGGCGAGCTACTCGCGATCACGGCGAAGCCGGTGCCCGGTGACAGAGCCACGGATTCGAGCACGCGAGTCGGCTGTATTTTCGAACATTCGCGTCGCCCACGACGTCTCGATACTTATGATCGCGCGATTCGATTAATTTGAATTCGAGTAGAATACGCGTTTGCCCGTGGAGTAGGATTCGCCGGAAAATCGCACGACGTACACGTGCGAGGGAAACTGTTCGAGGAGCCTGCGAAATCTCGCGAATATTCGTGCGATTAGAAAAGCAGAGAGAGAGAAACGAACGCATTCGAAAAGAGTCTGGCGGATTCTACGTGAACGCGAAACCGCAAGTATGTATCATCTACTGAGATATTTATGTTCCGATTTCGCGGTCATCTCGCAGGTACTACACGTGAATCGTTCATTTTGTCGTCCTACGATGATATGTGTATTCTACGTGGAAATTGATTCTTTTTCTTTTTTCCGAGAGAGAACCCAGGTGGAACGGAAAATGATGACAGTGTTAAAATGACGTCAAGATGATGAAAAAAAAAATGATCGAAGAATAAGTTTACGTAGTCGTTTTCTCGTCATTTCGATATATACGATCATTCTCGCGTTATCTTCTGTTCCACCTGAGGTCGTGCACACACTGCGTTATGTGTATATGCCTTACCGCTGCAATTAGAGTTGCAACTTTTTCACCTTATGTGCATGCTAAGGCTGAAAATCGCAATACTCTCAATTTAGGAAACGGCAAGGCGTACTTGATGCAGTTTATACTCGTTCGGAGGTATACTTCGCTCGCGAAGTTACGTCGAATGCATGGAAGATTCGATAGAAAGATGTCCCGTTCGCGCCCGTTCATAGCATAAATTCTCGCGTTTCCCGATTCGCCACGCACGCATTTTCTGCGCGCAATCTTTTGTATGAAATCACTGCCTCGTTTTTTCAGCCAATAAAGAGAAATAATGCTGTTATTTCGAGCCAGTTTACTTTTTCACGAAAAAAAGTGGGGGAAAAATGCATCACGATATTCATCCATCCCCCCACCGGCGATTTCATTCTTCACCCTCGTTTAATTGTGCTATTTTCCACTGTCTCCTTTCGTTGCACGCCAGAAACGAACGTAGTGCAGTTCGTTATTATTATCGGAATTAATTATCGAAAACTGCGGAATGTAACAGCCACGCACGCGCTATTTTATGTATCCTGATTTATTATTTGCGCGAAATTGAAATATATTCGTTGAAAATCAAGTACGTACCTCTTACCGGGGGTTTCGTATAAATCAATATTATCAGGCAAGAATTTTATCGTCAATGATACTTTATCGATGCGGTTTCACGGGGAATTACGTCGCAGAAATTGTTCGAGCAACATTGTGTTGATGACATAATAGTTAGATATATTATTGACCGAGTAAAGTCCGCTTTGTTTGCAACATTATCTCACCCGACACCTTACGTTTGATTCGTGTTTGTAATCACAAAATAATTATGAAAATAGTTACGTCCGATGTATAAAGAAAATTGTTCATAAAATCGTTAACAAATTTGTAGCACATTATCATTTTTAACCCTTCGAGTTCCGGCGTATTTTTAAAATTCTCTAGTCCCCTTCAGAATATATATGTATATATATATATATATATATATTTCACGCTTTCAAAGCTACCTAGTAGTACAGTTACAGAGTTATACTTTACTTATCTTGAAAAAGTCAACTGAATTTCCGTAAATTTTCCAATCTTCCGCAATCGAATGTTTGAATTTTTCCGGTCGCAACCGAAACTCTCACATTTTTCCGACATCCCTCGATTAACATTAAATTCCCGAGGTGGAAAGCCGGAACTCAAAGGGTTGTTAATTTTACAAGAGGAACAGTGCCGACTGATTTTCGTCGGGTTAGAACGCGTATTCGGCGGGGACTTTTCTCTCGCAGAGACGCCGCAAGTATAAGACACGCACGCGCAAAAACGCGAATTACTCGCAAACCTATTTTTCCGGCTGTGTTTACATCAGTTTTATTCATACGAGGCACGGTCCTGTCGAGCGGAGAGTCCGTCTGGACGAGACAGCACGACAACGACGCCGCCGCCGTCGACGAACGTCCGCTCGCTCTTCGAGTCGGCGGCGCATGCGCGAGGCGCGCACGGGCCACGAGAGCGTCAGTTCCGGCGAGACGTCGAGTCGTGCTCGCGGTAAAACGGCGGACGGCGGGTGCGCTCGGTGCGGCTCGCGGCGCGGCGCCACCTGTGTTTTCCGTCCGGCTCCCATTGGCCGCGGCCGAGTCACGTGGCGCGATCGCGGGCGCGCCCGCAGCGCCAAGCGCATTTGGCGGGCTCGTCGCGTTTAGACGGCGTCATCCGTGGTTGTCCGTAACACACTGCGTGCCGAGCGAACTACGAGGTCCCACGTAGCACAATGGTGAGTATCTGCGAGTTTTCGACGCGGCCGACGGCCATCGGCCGGCGCTGCGGACAGGATCGTGCGCAGCGGACCCTCGGCCGTGTGCTGGCCGGGTTTTCGTCGCCGGATCGTGCGGATTAATCGTGATTTTTGTGTGCGGAACAGGCTGGCGGAAAGGCGGGCAAGGACTCCGGCAAGGCAAAGGCGAAGGCGGTCTCGCGTTCAGCTCGGGCCGGCTTGCAGGTGAGTCGAGTCGACGAGCTGGCTGGCTGCTCTCTCTCACTCTCTCTCGCTCTATCTCTGTTTCTCTCGCGACGGAAACGGCCGTGTTGTGTGGAATCGATGGTGTGCTCCCGGAGTGGCGGCTCGTCCTGCGATGCCCCGTTTTCGTCGAGAGGCAGGTTAAGTCGCCGTTGGCGCGAAAAACATCCCGGCCGATGACTGGTAGTTACCGCGGCGATGCCGCTCGTCAACTTCACGCCCGCCCGGACGATACGTCGTGCGGTACGCTCGACGATGCCGCTTTTCTCGCTTCGTCCGTTCGCGCCACGCCGAACCTTCGGGATATGTTCGTGCGGGACGATTTATTTTTTGAATTCGGACGCGACCGGACACAGCGAGTGAGTGAGTGAGTGCGGAGAAGGAGGGAGAGAGACGGCGAAAGAAACGGTCGCGTGCGGTTTTCAAAGGCGGGAGACCGACGGACCGTTGTCGTTCCTTCGAACCGCTCGTCCCAAGGATCGTCTCGTTTACAGCCCGCGCGGCGACCTCGACGACGCGCCGTAAATCGAGAATCAATTTTTGCCGCTCGCGCTGCGACTCGTCTTGATTGCGCCAATTCGACTCTCGCGTCGGTGTGGGATTCTCTCTCTTTTTCTCTGTATCGCTCTCCTTTGTTTCTTTTATCCCTCCCCTTCTCTCCTTCTGTACCTCTGGGCTCATGAAATTATATGATTCAGCACGCAGCCGATCGAACCGACGGAGAGGCGCGAGATTCATGAATTCGAACGGATCGTTGAAATTCGCGAAATCGGGCGGGCGATTTGCACGGATCGCCGATCCCCGCCGGTAATCGTGAATATGTAATATCGAGCGTTCATCTTTTTCGGACGTGCGACATAAAAGAAGGCAACGTCGCGGTGCTGCGCTCAAGAAAGAGAGAGAGAGAGAGAGAGCGAGACTATCGTATTCCGGAGCGGGCCTCGTCGGTCCGCTTTTATCGTGCGAGGAATGCCGTCTATTCAACGTGGAATGCAGTTTTCGCGGAAAAATATCCGACGACTTGCACTACAAAATACCGTTGGACAAAATCAAAGTTACGTAATGCCCAATGTTTCGAATGTGGTCCCGTCTGTGTGTGTATACGAATGTGTGTGCGCGCGTGTATTTGCATGTTTATATGTGATGTACATTCAGCACTGATCGTATTTAGTGAACGTCACGGTGTCTCTCTTGGAAATTGAATTGCGGCTTTGCCCTTCGACGCGATCCCGAGACACGACGATGATGATGACCGTTTCTCCTCTCGTCGAGAAGTGTCGCGTGTGACTTGTTGATTAAAACTCGAGGAAATCGCGTCGGTCACAGGTTACCGTCTAAACCCAGCGGGAATGGAGCTCGACGACCGCGCGCTCGAGTGCATTTCTCGAACGGAGGGAAAATGATTTCGAGTAATTTTTACGCACACCACGCTCTCGGAAGGAAGAGCATCGCCAGGAAACTGTCCGGGAGCTGCACACGGTTTGTGTGATTCAACCGACACCAGTGAGCACGGTCGTTTTCTTAGCGTGGGAACAACAACACCGCCAACAATCGAGAACGTTCTTTCGCGCCACGTTTATCGACACGTCGGTCGTGAATCTCCGCGCTGTCGCGATTAAAATTCTCGTGCGACACGATCGAGACGCCCTCAATTATTAACCGAACCGTTCCGTCACGTCCGCGCGTTTCTCCCGACGCTCACAAAACGGACGAATTTCATTTAGCCGTGAAAAAGTCGCGTTTAAGCTCATTTTTACCGCCGAAACGCGACGTGTTCGAGAATAGGCGGGCCACTCGCCGGCCGAGAGTCCCCCAGCGGGGACGTATTTTCGAAAATACATTACTGGCAAACAATCTGTTTGATATCATGTGCGCGCGCGCATACTTGACACACGCACAGAGAAACACATACGTTTCAGGAAGAGATTAGCGCGTCTGCGAGATGATACCCAGAGACGTTTCACGTACGTAACGTTTATGCGTAGGACGGGATTAATACATACTCAAATCGTACGTTACGACATATCGAGTGTGCACAGTGAATTTAACCGTCTTGGAGATATCGATTGGTACGCGATGCTTTTTCGCTCCAGCGAACGTTCCGTACCTGCGGAAGGATCGCGGTTCGAACGGAACAAAGATACCTGACCGACCGAGAGAGAGAGGGAGGGAGGGAGGGAAAGAAAGAAAGAAAGAAAGAAAGATGCAACCCGTCAAACTATAATAAGCTCGTTCCAAAGACGAAATGTAAAGAAGCCGAGATTCGTAGCGACAACGGAGGACGTGACATTTTGCACAATATAACGCAATATTATCCGACAAATATAGGCGTGTGCGCGAGAAACAAAAGCCCCGACGGTGTCGTGTGGTGCTGCAGTGACGAGTTAGAGAGAAAGAGGCTAAACGCGGATCGCACGAAAGCGCGCAGTTCCTACTTATTTCGATCGTCGTGCAGTGTCGAAATTGTGGCAGTTTTCGCGAGTTTTACCGACGAAACAGCAGCAGCATTGGAAATTGTACAGCGGTCCTCCTGTGAGAGTGTGATATTCGAACGTGTCGCACGCGATCGCCTCAATATCAGCTCGGTGGTGACAAAATTATTGTGTAACAATATCGACCGCGCGGACGGATGGACGAGAGAGAGAGAGAGAGAGAGAGAACGGGCAGGCGGGGGCGGGCCGACAGACGAGAGAACCAGCCACTTGGGAGTATCGCATCGCGTATTCTCCGAAGCTGAATTTCCAAGGGAGATGCCTCTCCATCTGCGTGATTCTCGAACGCGTCCTGGGACGTGTGTCGCGGATGACGAAACTTTGTGCCAAAAGCTGGAAAGACGATGGCGGGGCGAGCGAGAGAGAGATAGACAGGAGGGAGAGGAGGGGAAATAGAGATAGACAGAGTGAGTGCGCGCACGAGAGAGAGAGAGAGAAAGAGAAAGAGTAGACCAAATCGTACCGCTCGATATTCCGCTAAGCGTGAGAACACGGGACGTAGTCTGGATATTCGCGCGCGTTCTCGACGATTTTTCCGCTCTCGCGAGAATAATTTGAGGGAACTCGAAACCGCCGAAATCAGCCGAGAATGTCGGGACGTTCGCATTGGCGCGGCACCATGAAAGAACGACCGGGACGACGATTCGACCTCTCGGACGCGACGGCGATCTTCATTGGAGACGACGCACGATCGACAGCCTGCGGTTTGTCCTCACTCGTACCGTACATACACAGAGAGAGAGAGATTCGTGTCATCGCTTATCGCTCAATATTCTTCGTCTCGGCCGAAACTGCGAGCCAACGGCGTGATCGACGGCCGATGTCGCGCGAGCGGCTAGTAGACACGCGTCGCGTGTACGCGTCGTCCGGAAAACATTCGCTCGCCTCTCGTCGTCGTCGTCGGTGGTAGAAGTTTCGTTAGAAGTCACTAGACTCGTCAGTGGCGATTCGAGGAGGAGCCACTGGAAGCGGAGGGACGCGGACGAAAATCTCGGGACGAAGGGAAACTTCCTGGAGTAACCCGGAGTCCTCGAGTTTATCGCCGTGTTACTTGCTGCATTTGCTGTGTAAATGGTGTAGAAATACGACGCGGATAATAAAACGATATTTGTTTACGCTTTTTTACGCCCACGGTAGAAACCGTGAACGTACGTCGAGAAAGTTCCAAGTCGCGGTTGACATCAAACGTTACTTGACATTGTAACATGTAGTACATTAGGTAGTATATAACGATTTGTATCGGTATTTTGTACTGGAAATTCTCGCTCGTTCTTCCGGTGAAGTGCCGAATCGATTTTCGGGGTGGCTATTTGAGACCCTTTTATCTCGAGAGGATTTCGAGACTCTCGACGATAATAATAAAGCATGCAGGGTCGTGAAGTATTTGTTAACAACTATCGCAGCTTTCGGAGATACAAATCGAGTTTTTCGTTCGCAGTCAGTCTCCCGGAGACCGACCAGGAGTCTCAAAACGTAGCGAGAATTACAGAAGTGAGCAAATTCATCAGAGCCTGTTTCAGGACTCTTTTTTTTTTATCTCGAAAAGTGGTTCCGCCTGATTGGCCGAGAAGTCAATTAGGCACTTTTATCGAGAAAAGAGAGTTCAGAATACAGATTCAGGTGTTGATCAGCGAAATTATAAATGTTTTAATAAATTTTCTCACTTTTACGATTCTCACTACGTTTTGCGATACACAATCGATCTCCAGCAACGCACCTGTCTTATCTGGCTCGCGGCCCCCCTGAATTTCGCCCCTGAAGCGCGCAATAACTGAATACCATCGGTTGTCGAGAGTGTCGGGGCGCTATGAGCGCTGCGCACAGATCAAACGTTATTTACGCAACCTTTTTTTTCTCTCCTTTTGCTTCGTCTTCGCGTTCGCGTTTTGCTGTACGAAGTTTTTTTGCAGTCTTTTTCTCTCTCTCTCTCTCTCTTTCTCTTTTTTTGCCGGGAAATCGTTCTCGGAACGGTCAACTGACGCTCGATAGACATCCGAGTGCGCTTTGCGTCACGAATTTTGCGTCCGATGTTTACGGAAATTCCGCGCCGTTTCCCGGCTTTATGTCGTCGATATCGTTTTACACGCCGGTGCGAATTCGCAATACAGATAAAACGCGAAAACAACGGGACGCGCCTGTGAACTTTTTTTTTTTAGATGAGAGAAAGACGCGATCGTGTGTGCAGTAAATCTTGATATATTTTCGGGGAAAAAGTTACTTATTTTTTTTGTTTACGATTTCCAAGAGCATTCTACGGACATTTCTCGCACGTGAAGTATCCCATCTAAAAGGAGAGATGAGCTAACGTTCGGTCCGAATGTTTCCGCGATTATTGGTGATAAATTTCCCTTTTTATCTCCCTACATTTCATCTCCCCACATTTAACGTTCATTCTGCTAATTTGCATAATAGCATTTACTTTATTTACCGGATCGGTGTTCGCCTTGTCTTACGCTTCTCCCTCGACGAGAAAACCATATGTTCTCTCGTGTGCGCGCGTTTCACGTTTCCGACCACATGTTTTCTACCTCGAGCTGTTCCTTTTCGCATAGAGATAATCCTACTGAACTCTCGATGAGTGTGTATTTGGCGTGACACGCGTCGGTGAACGTATCTGAGAGCACAAAAATGTTTATCTCGCATCCTTGTTTTCACATTTTATCTCTGGTACCTTAATAGCTGCACCAAACTGCACTACCTACACTCAACACGTTGACTGCCAAATACGGAGTTATCTCGTAGTTGGCTTGCGGAAAGAATTCTCTGTTCCATATTGTAATACGAGTTAATTCACAAAGGTTTTAAATAAATTTTTATTGTTTTTTGCCGAATTATAAATATAATTTATATGTTAAAATAGCACGCTGATTTTTGTCTTGCAAATCGCGTTAGGACAGTTTCCTAATGATTGTCAACGTGTTGAAGTGAAATAAATATATATTTGACACTCAGTGGAAGGGAGAAGAAAATCGAGAGATTATACCAGATAGTTCAAAAGGTGCAGCTTTAAGGAGCGAACACGAATAACGAGACGCGCCAAGTACGGTGACGCAAAAGTTGCTCAACCTGCACGCACGGGTACAAAGCATCGTACGACCGCGTTTTCATCGCCTTTGTGGCACGATTTTCCACTTTCTGGTTAACTTGTGGTTTAGGCTTAACCCGGTGATGATGATGTAAACATTATATTTTTCTACTTATGCTTAACACGTTGAATGCCACGCTGATTTCCATCGATCGTACAAACGCCTAATTGATTCAATTAAATCACTAAAGCTGCAGTAAATAAATATAATTTAGGATACGCATCTGTTAGCTTGTTTCATTAGCTCATTACTGGCTGTACAACCTATTTTGTAGATGCAATTAATTATACGTCACACGTAATTTAATAAAACGCGGTAACGTCATAGCGCCGGTCACCGGTGACCCCCGTGGCAGTCAACGTGTTAATCATCAAACTTGAAAAGTCATCGTTACAAAACCATCCGTTCAATGATTAAACGTGGATAAAGAAGGCAGGATTTGTGCATTATTATTGGGTTAAGTCTAAACCCACAAGTTAACTGGAAAATGAAAAAAATCGGACATCAGCATCGATGACGACAGACGAAAAAGAAGGTGAAACCCGACGAGACGGCGGCAAATGACGTTCACCTTTGTTGCGCTTCTCTCGCATTCGCCTCTCGCGCGTGGCGCTGTATCTATCGCACGCATCACCGATGTTTCTTCGCACAATAGTGACGTCAGTTTAACCGTTTTACCGTGCGGAGGGACCTGTGTCATGTGGAGGTGTATGCGCCGATTTCGCGCCTCGTGATCCCTTCCGTCCAGGGTGAGGAAGCACACGGCTAATTGCAGGTTTATTGTATTGCAGTTCCCCGTGGGCAGAATTCACAGGCATTTGAAAAACAGAACCACCAGTCATGGTCGAGTGGGCGCTACTGCGGCGGTGTACAGCGCGGCCATTTTGGAATACCTTACAGCCGAGGTGAGCACACATGTGCGAATGAGCGAGCGAGCGAGTGAGTGAGTAGAAGAGCTGAAACAAGCGCGAAAGAGAAGAAAAGGGTGATGGGGGGGGGGGGATATTGTAACTGACACTGTGCAAAGATCAAGACACTGAGGTTCTATTTATTGAGTTCGGGCTAATGTCCCGAGTATAACGATCGATTGTACATCCCGGGAGTACAAATCATGATTTGATGATATCAGAACTGGAGGGCAAGAGACAACAAAAAGAGTTACAGAGATGATAAAGTTGTAAAGAGAATTTTACAGAGAGAGAAGGATAAAAATGACTGAGAGGAACGAGTCGAGGTGTAGGTGGAAGGGAGAAGTGGGAATGTTGAGAAGAATGTTATGAACGGTAACTACCCGGGTATAACTAATTAACGGTATATACATAACCGCAAATAGAACTTACCACAGCCGATAGATAAAAAAGGGTAACGCCAAATAAAAAGTTAATTAGAGGAAACGTCGGGGAGATGTTTTACGTTGGAATATGGTTTGGACTAGTTATTATCGACACTCTTCCAAATATTAGATACTGTCAAATATTTGATTGTTCCATTGTATCCATTATTGTTATAATGAGTAATAATTAATTTGTCGTAAAATCGTAATTATATTATCTGCTGTGTAAATGTGTAAAGTAAGTGGATATTATATATATCTAACGAGATGGTCGCGCCGTCATAAATGTAGAAAGAGGAAGACCAAAGGAATGATAGAGAAAAAAAAGAAAAAAAAAAGGGCTAAACGCAGACGTGATAGAGAACGGCTGTTATAACTCGCAGCGTCATGCGCATTGAGGGCGTCGTTAAAACAGCATGGCCGGTTTTCCCGCCGTTATTTTCGAATAAGTTTTATGACACGTCGAGTTGTATCAAGATGTTAAGTGTAATTATGTTAGGTATTTTATTTTATGTTTCATCTTTATATTAAATTGAGACCACATATATGCTTCAATTGATGTCAGTAAAAATAATTTTTATAATTTATTTTTTACTAAAATTAAGGGAGGAGAAAATTGCATGCATGCGTATATTTTAATCGACCGATCGTCTTGCAATGATAACAACTTTAACCACTTGCGCTGGAAAGACGTGCTACGCACGTCGTAATGCTTTTGTCGCAAAATCGCCAACGACGTGGTATATACACGTCGTCAGACAATTGTCACAGAAACGACGTGCGTGGCACGTCGGCTGAGATTCTTTGCCAGAGCACTGATTCTCTTTGCACTGCATAGCGTACAGTTGTTAATATATAACCTATATTCTAAATTAGTTTAGAAGATATAAGTCTTTCTCCGATTTCTCTATGGCATCGAACACTGTGTGACGTCTCCCAGCGAGTTACACTGGACCGTTCTGGCACACGCGTCTGTGAATTTCTTGCCAGCGCAAGTGGTTAATTTATTTGTAATGATAGTATAAAGCTACTTTACGACGAAAATAATAGGTTTCTTTCACTATTGTGCAAAGTTCAAAATTGTATCGCGATTCTTCTTTTTGCACAGGTCTTGGAGTTGGCGGGAAATGCGTCAAAAGATCTGAAAGTCAAACGTATTACACCTAGACATTTGCAACTTGCCATTCGTGGTGATGAAGAATTAGATAGTCTCATTAAGGCAACTATTGCAGGAGGAGGTATGTTTCTCTTCACAATACTTCTCATCGAGTCATTGTAATTTTGTAAATCACCAATATAATTGGAATAACTTGGTATATAATTTTGATGTATTTTCTTATGTGTTCTGCGGTCACGGTTTTTATTTTGTTATATTTGAACAAGACACTTATCCTCTCACGTCATGTGACGAGAGTTTTCGGATATAGTTTATATTGTTAAGAGCAACACACGCGTTTTTTTTTTTTAATTTTATATAAACAAATTACATGTATCTTTTATTAATTACAGGTGTCATTCCACATATCCATAAATCGCTGATCGGCAAGAAGGGTTCGCAGAAGCCAGCATAATTTACAGTAACAGTTATTACAAAATTACAATTGACGTACATCTCGAGATCCATGGGTGAACGGGAAGAGTGGAGAGCGAGCGGTCGAGTGATCGTTGACAAAGTGTACCTACATTACTGAATCGATGGCAGAACTGGCGTGATATATATATAGATTCATATAAATATATATAGATATATAGATATATAAATAAAGCAGATATTGATATAATTTAATATAGGTAAAGAGATGAAAAAAAATGAATGAAAAGATAAAATAACATCATACAATTGACAAACTGAAAAGACGACGAAAGAAAGTTGGAGGGTGAGTGAGAGAAAAAGAAAGAGGGTGAAGTCCATTTTAGAAGAAGGAGAGTAGTAAAAATTGTAGTATGTCGCGAGCGATGCGTTATAGCATGGCTTGCTTTGGGAGGTAGTAGTCTTTGGTACAGTTTGCAATTGACGAACACTGTGGAAACCGCTGAGGTACCTGAAGGCACGTGGCAAAGTGTCTTCGATCAATCACATCTTGATACGACACACACCGACGACGAAATTTATCAATTCCTCTGTATCGAAATCGCCATCACCTTGAGTTTGTTCGTCTTACCGTTCTCAAACCGCGCCACGTTGAAAGCGTGACCTCTTTTCTTATTATTACTATTATTATTATTATTATTATTGTATCTACTCACGAGCGATAATTGTTCCACGACACACGATACGATACGCGCGCATGACGTTCGTTCATTTCACGACTATTCTCTTATTATGAGTTGCAGTATGTTTTAAATATGTTGCACACGTTTTGTATCTTAGCGTGCGGTGAGTTTCGAGAGCACATACGTTTTTTTTTTCCCTTTCATTAAACACAGTAAATATTTCTTTATCGTCGGATTCGTCAGAGCGATAAAACAACAAAATAATTGTGAACGGAGCGACATTTACCTTTGTAATTTGCTGCGTTACTTTTCGAGTGACCACTCGGCCAAACGTGTACGGTATATGTAGAAGTGAACGATCAAGTTTCCAGTCTTCTCGATCTGCTGCTAGTTAGGTACATCATCGATCTCTTTGCACATTATAACGAGTTCCGAGATATTTTGCGCTTCTCACCTGTTAGAATCACTATCGTAATTGTATGGAGAGATTTGATAAGAGCTTGGAAATTTGAAAGAGTAACTATTAATTACGACTGTATATAGCGTTTCTAATTGAATGTAGAAAATTACATGTCAGCGAGCATTGTGTTTCACAAACTTTCGAGAATTATAGAACGGGGCTTTCGTTCCGGCGAAGCCGAAGTGTTAAGTTTTGTTTGCAGAATCGGACTTCCGGCTTCGATTGTTATAAAATAATACGAGGTAGTAATAGAGACAGTTTATGTGAAACGTCTGGAAAGTTCTTCATTGGCGTATGTGCGAAAGAACGTGTCAAATTTTTTTTTAATTTTCGCTCCGATCATTTTTCTTTTATTTTAATGTTTGTCAGTTCTTCGTTATCTGTACGATTTAACATAATTTTTACTGTATGCCTACGGTTTTGCACCGTATGTTAAACATCAGCCATATGTAAAGCGTTCATTTTCATAATAATAAAGATAAATTTTATTACGAAATTCTCCGTGTACGTATGTGTGTGTGTGTGTGTCATGTGTTTAAACGCAATTGTTTTGCGCGAAATTCTGAGCTTGAAAGATTCGCTGCAGATCTTGAGCTACTTAGAAAAAGCAACGGAATTGTCTCTGGTATCTTTCTACGAGTAATAAAATGTTACGCCTCTACACGTGGAAAGAATCATTAACAAGGATTAAGATCAAGATCGTTGCGAGGGAACACCGAGTTGTAAACTAGCTTCGAATATATAACGCGTCTTGGAAGTACAATATACGAAAAACCAAGTACAAAAGAGCGAGCTGGAATGAGGGAGAGAAGTGTGTCGACTATGAGTAAACTCGTCGATTGCAGCGTCGGTTCGACGGTGCTCGAAATATCGGGACGCAGGTATAAATACTTAGTCATTATCTCTCGTCGTTAGAGCGCGAGACGCCGAGCGAGAAGCGGTTTCGGCGTGCGTTAGGCGCCATCTGGCGATCGACGCGCCAACTCGCGGCGGTCCCCGCCGGCCGCTCTTTCGACGAGCTGCGCTCGCCGGCGTGAGCGCTTTCGTTGGGCCGCGGCGAAGTGGGGGGCGGGAGGCGCAAGGCGCCCGCGCCGTGGGCGAGAGTAGGAGTGAGACGGAGCGAGAGTCGAGCTCCCCACTCGTGACCACCGGCGCGGCGTTCAGAGCTGCAGTCGCCTTTCAGGGTACGGTCGGTTCGGTTGTTCGATCGCTCGCTCGCCCGCAGGGTTGCGGCAGCAAACATACGTCTCGGAGTCGTACCGGAAATTCCGCTCCGTCGCCCTCACCCGGTGGTGTGATAGTGTCCTTCGGTAAGGACACTCCGACACGGTCCTCACGTACGTATCCCCGCTCCCCGTCATCGTCGGGTCCGTTATTCCGGGTGGACGGTGACAGGTCGCGTGCTCGCTCCAGGAGCGAGAGTGCAGCCGAAGGACGCGCATCTCTCCGTCTTGCTCCGCGCGTCTCGCGGAATAGAGAGGGAGAGAGAGAGGGCGAGAGGAGCCGGTGAAAGGGGAAGGGAGAGAGGGGAATAGAAAGAGACGGACGCGCGGCTCGGCGAGCGGTCGTTCAAAAATTTCACCCGGGTCGCGTGCGTGTTCATCCGGTTCGGTACATTTTATCCGCCGCACGAATTTGTCATTGTTTATTACGCTGCCAGTGTCTCATTGTTGTGGTTGTCGTCGGCATTCGTGCGAATTAAAAATCGGTGAGCGCGCCGGCTGTTCGGGCTCCTCTCGCTCCTCGGCTCTCCGTGCGTCTGCCGCGTGCGAAATTCGCGAACTCGCAAGAGTTCCTGGGAGAAGAAGCTCCTGCGGCCTTTCTCGTCCGCCTCCTCCGAGAGCGTGTCGTCCGATTCTAGACTTTCTGAGGAACCGGCGTCCCCGTCAGCGATTCTGTCGAAATGCGACGCACCGGTCGCGTCAGGTGACTAATTCCGACCGTATCCGGGACACTTCTGGGATGTGTCAAGATAGTTTTCGGACAAGGTCGGACAATAGCATAAGTATCCCTTCTCTTCGGCCGATTTCTCTCTCAACCTGTAGATACTCGCGCAACCTTTACAGTCGATGTTTACAGGCGGTTTAAACGATAATTCTCGGAGTGTGCGTTCCGCGGAAACTTGCACGACGTGAAGAATCCGAAGGGAAATAATTCATACGGCGAGGTAAAATATTTCTAATTAATACGATTGCTTGATCTGGCTTCCGGGCTGTAGCTGCCTTTAATTAGGATAACTTGTTCCTCGGGATCTGTCGAATCGAAATACGACGTAAGGAGACCGATCCAATTTTCAATGCACGAATCACAATTGTTTTTTGCCCGTGTGTCAAAAGCACGCTTGAAAACCGATGTGCATTCATAGTCAGGTCATATATATAAGATTGTCTTAAGTTCATCTTCAGATGCTGTACGACCCATTTGATTGGTTACGAAACATCTAACTGAATACCGGCTTTAATGTCCGCGATTGAAATAAATTTTTCTATTCTTGATACAAATCCATAAAAATAATCGATAGTCATCGATCTTGCATGTGTAAACGCACTCAAAGCTGAAAAAGAAAAACATTAAGAAAAGCGAAACGTTAGGAGGCGGGCGGACGAGGAGGACTCTATCGATCTTTGTATACATTGTGTTTGAGCGATGACGACGAAGTCTCGATTTACGATTACGGTTTTTCGATATTTCTCCACGCCGCAAGTCGCCGACTCGCTCGGAGGACACTTGATCGGCGTAAAAACATAAGTAGAATTCGGTGTGTTCCCTCGCGAAAAAAGAAGCACATTTGCGGTGCATTGTCGTTTGTATCGACTCGACTGATGTTGAACGTGCGCCAAGCGCGAAAAAGTCGAGACTCGAAGAACGGGGACACGCTACGAGCGTCATTTGAAAATTAAAGCGATACTTCTGTCCGGGCGGTGCCGGGTAAACATTAGTTATGAGAGTGACATCTTGGTTAACCCGTTCAATTTTTCACGCCCGGCGCACGAAACACACGCGCGTGCGCAGTCCTTCCTTGCGGGAGAACGCTCTCTCGTTTGCGCGTGAAATTTGTTGATGATAACGAATCGGTCGGGGAAGATATCGAGTGCACTTTATCGCGAATTCCGCGAGTGTGAAAAGCGAGTTCAAATGGAGTGTTGATGAAGCTCTTTATCGGATTCGGGCGATAAATATTTTATGCCGTGTGCTCGGCTGCGAAAATTCGCATTTGACTGCATTTGACGACATTTGTCCTCGATATTCGCCGGGAAATCTTTGTGGACGAATAATATTATTTGATTATTATATTCTCGTTCTCTGTTTTCGGTGTATTATTTCGGCGTGTCCCGGCTTTGTTATTGCCAATTCATCGCGGCACGCTCGTTTACATGTCTAATCACGATCGTAAACGGGAATGATTGTCCGTCTATCAATTACTCGCGACGATAAGAATCCGCGAACGCGTTTAATTAGAGACAGAGGAACGTGGTAATTACGAAATGCGCGAGTAAATCTGCGAAATGTGAACGAATCAATTTCGCGCGCTCCTGTATATTTTTTCGGTACATCAGAGGGCGCGCGCGCGCGCCGTTACACGTTACATTAATATTATTTTAATGTTAACTTTTACTCCAATATCAACCCGTTTAACATGCAAAATTAAATTTAATTGGTCAGATTTCAATTCGATCTCAATCCTAATCCGTGACACGGGCATAGATCTAGTCTTTAAAGCTCTCGCAAGGGGGCGTTCTCTGTGCATACAAAAATTTATGCGCGGTACGCCTGGGAAAGAAAAGCGACGGAGCCATCTTGGAATTTCGCGCGCGGAGTTTTCGGCGGAGTCGCGCGGGTGAAGATACCGGTTGCTTTTCGGCGAGAGACACAAGTCGACACAGTCTAGTTACATCATCAATCGTCCTTATTTGGCGGAGAAAAGGATAGCAAATGGTGTAACGAGACTTGTGTGTGTGTGTGTGTGTCTCTCGGTGGAGAGTAACTTTCGTGTCGCGAGCGGTTATCGCCGGCAGTCGTTTCTTACGCAGCACACCACATCCGAGGAGCATTCTGGGAACGTCCTTGGGACGAGGTATGTCCTCTGAGCGTCTTTAGAACGTTCCTCGGAGGTCTTTGTTGTACGGGTTCGTTCGTTTTTTCGTCTCGCGACCGGACGCGCCACGGTTTGCGCGCGCGAGACACGCGATGCTACGTTCCCTTCTGTTCCGAAGGCTGGTGCTCGTCCCGCTGGACTCCTGGCATGGAATGATCCACTCGCCGTAACTCTTCCCACGCAGAACGCGAGAAGCCGAGGGCTCTACGAGGAGATGACGGGCATACGCGTGGAACGAGTCGCCGCTCGGTGAGTACCTTTTCCTTTCTGCGAATGCAACTGGCGCGAAATTCTTGACGCTCGGTGTGTTCGCGTGCGTCACGCTTCGGCGTGCTCGAAGTTTGAGGTTAGACGATGCGTGTTGTTGTTGCGAGCGAGATAAAAGGATGGAATGCAACGATCGCGTGTGATCTTCGATTACGCGATCCTGCGAAACAGTAGTTTAGCGACTTGGCGAGATACAACGCGGTGGACCATCTCCGTGGCGCGTCTGTTCGCCACTCGGTGGTTTCTCCGAACGACCAGGAGTCGATTTTTTTTCTGCGAAAGTGTCGGGCGTCGCCGACTACCGCGTATTTTTGCTGATTATTAACATTGACTACAGAGCAACGTTAATCCGGTTTGGCAACTACCGTAATTAATGAACTCTCGCATCCGATTGGCATTTTCTTTCAGATCTGAAGATAAGAAAAAAACTCCAATTAAATGCGAGGAATCGCTAACTAGGTTGTTACCAAACCGGATTAACGTTGCCGTGTGATCGAAGTCATTGTATACTTTCGTAATTGAATTCTAAGAGAACTGTTTCTCCCGTGCAACTACACCGATTATAATGACGTCAGAAGTGAGAAATCGCTTGTCTTGCGCTTTGCGTCAATGAGATTTCTTTCCCGTTACCGTCATTCGCGTTTGATAATACCGAGAGTGACGAAATATTTCAGACTTTCTGTTCGATTCGTGGATTAATGCATGTAAGCGAACCAAGGTCGGTATTCATAGTCAGATTTTATATATAAGTCCGTCTTAAGTTCACCTTCCGATGCTTCTGCTAATGAAATGAGCCGTATGAGCAGAATCTGAAGATGAACTCAAGGCGGTTTTAAATATGAGATCTGACTGTGTGAATACCGGCCTATAAATGTAGAAAATGAATGTAAATCTTAACAAAGATAAGGTTTGTTTTCATTAAAAATACGGCATGCATAAATCACATATACGCTTCTTTCTGTGGTACAAGTTAATAAAAAAAGGAATATCTGTTTAATTTATATATCAGCAATCTGTGATATTGAACAGCGGAATGGCGGAACCAATTTATTTCGACGTGAGGAAAAAGCAGTGGGAGGTAAAAATTTCACACGATTTTTCGCTCATGGCATTACAATTCAGTATGAAGTACAGAGTCAAAGAATCCAAGTTTTTAATTAAAATTTTACTAAAGCAAACTTTCCGCCTGATGTTAGTCACAGAAACGTAATATTGATAATCATTTCGTTCCCCGAAATTCAGTTCGTGAAAAGTTCCGGCTTTTTAGTTGTTTATAATAAAAAAATTATTTAGCGCCTCGACATTTTTGCACAACGCAAAAATTGATTTTAAATCGGGCGGGGAATCTATGGGTTAAATCATAATGCGGGGGAAGTGGAATATCCCGCATATAGAATGATATCGACTCGCTTCTATAATTGGGACGCGAGCGATATTTTTCGATAATTAAAAATACCGGTAAATATACATCGTCGAAACGAAAAGTAGAATATGTGAAGGATTTGCTCGTTTTAGCCGCGATTTATTGCCTTACACTAAGAGAAATTCCACTAAAATTCTAGTCATCTTTGACCTCAACTGTATCTTCTTCCGGTTTTAATCCAAAAAAATAATAATAGCAATATGCACACTATTAGAAAAACTTCATAATTAGGTTGTGAAGTTATGGAAATTAAAACCAAATTGATATTACATTCACTAACCAAATTGATATTACATTTAATAGCCAAAATGATATTACATTTAATAGCCAAAATGATATCACGTTTGATAACGCATAGTTATGAAAAGATATTCTGAATCTACTTTTCATAATAATGCTGTAGCAATTTAGAATATGAGATTTAATGAGTGAACATTAGAGGGAAATACGTCACAACTGATGTACTTCACTAATATTTACAATTAACGGTTTATCGTTGTCAAATCATATATCAACAATCATACTGTGTATTATCAAATGTTACAGCAGTTCTAATATATCATAATGTGTTATAGTGTGTCATAATTGAATATGCAAACTAAACAAATTATGTAATATAGGATGAATGAATATTAAATTTCATATTTGTCCTTTAAATTTATAGAAAGTATGAAACATCATAATTATACTATGATCACATTGATATTATGAAAATTATGAAAGGTTATACATTTTAATATAAAAATTCTTAAATTTTTATTATCACAAATGTTGTTATTTTTAAGAACTGTTTTAACATTGCATGTAAGATTATTATCACTGATACTGTAATAACATTATTAGAGAAAATATTTCTCCTGACTATAATTGTTTTGCTTATACGATTAGAGTTATAAATACCATTAAGTTTTTTTCTCAGCATAAGACGAAACATATCGATGTTGGTATTTTTCCACAAAAAAAAGGTGAATTTGTTCAAAAATTCCATTAACAACAGCTGTGAGATGGCAGATGGATTCGGGAAGGGAAACTTGTGCTATGAGTGCATATATATACATCGAAATTTTCAGATATACACGCCCTTTTTTTACAGGTCTCTACTTTTACGCTTCAGGCGCCGAAATATTCGGCCCTGAACTCTATGTTGCGTTACATTCGTGTTCATAAAACCTCCTCGGCAGTGCGAAGCCTGTTTCCCTACTTGTATCCTGGATATTAATATTTATCTACCGTTTAATTTCGCGGAGCGGAAAAAAGGAAGAATTTATAAAAAATTGGACGTACGTATATATACGTGTAGATATAGTTGAGACTCGCGCCGGCGCGAAGTTGGTACGGGTAGAGACGAAAAATACAATCCTTCCTACGCGATGCGTATATTTTTGTGCGTGTAACGACTAATAATTGAAATACGCTCGAAAAACCTTTGACATTAACGATGACCGTTATGCATGTTTCAATGATATTCAGTAATAAATGCGATATTTTCTTCATTAAAAATGTCACCATGTTCCTTCCTTTTCACGGACATTGCGATATAAATTGCAATATAAAGGAATATGATATATATTTGTTTTGCATTGTAACGTTTTATCGTTACTTTTTTTTTTTTGCGTAATCCGTTATTTTCCCTCTGTCTCGCTTCTAGCTATTTTTCCTTCGCTCTCTCGCTTCATGTACAAGGTGTTCCAGAATTTTTCGGCCAAACGTCATCGGTAGATTTCACGAATAAGAAAAATGTATGAATTTTTAATATGTCGTGCGGCGTTATTATGCATGACGAGAGTTTATCGATTCACGGACTAAAGGGCTCGCGAATATCGGATAAATCTAATAAGACGGTTAACATTAGTAACAGCTAATAGAAGAAACGTCGGAACCACTCGTTAATTGTTCGTTGTCATGCGACAGCTCCGTGCGATATTGTTGACAGTTCGTTACACATCGCGCTCGATATCCTGCAGTATTTTCACATGACTATTTGAGTGTGCGCGATATACTAGCTATTCACATCTAAATGCGACTTGATCACCGAAGGCTTTCGATGCAAAAATATTTATATATTTTTTCTCGCTCTCCTTCCTTGTTCTCTCTCTCTTTTTCTCTCTCTCTATTGGCTTTATGTTTCTTAAAAGCTTAACAGATTCCTTTGAGATGCGTAATGCGATTGCAGAGTATAATCTTCACGACGACAAGTTTTAACCGCGAATGCGCTATCCCGATCTACGGAACGAAAGAAACTTTTCACAAAGCGTGTGCACCTGCTGCTGCACAACAAAATTCTGTTTACACGCGGCCGACGGGTATAATATTGTTAACGCGAAATTTCACGATCCGGTTTCACGAACGCCTTACTCAATTCGATTTGTTCCCTCGCACGTGGACGTAACACCCTCGCCGGCAGCAATTACGAAACTCGCGGTCTAAGTTCACTTCGCGAGTAGTCGTGATAATGAACCGGGATCACCGTGTGGTCCCCAGCAAGCAACAACATTGTGTACCGGCCGCCGTTTGGCGAGATATCGTGCGTTAACCCTTGAAAATAGCGACGGAAGGCGCCATAAAAATGTCCCTACTCTCTCTCTCTCTCTCTCTCTCTCGGAATTGATATTTCGCCCGAGCCGAAATTTCGGCTCTGTGTTATAAACCTTTAATGCTACGACACAGGAGCTAAAATAGCAAAATAGGTCTACACGCAATTTAAATTTTGATGATATAATTTATTCCTACTTTGATCCTGACGATGTCTTAAGTTTCCGTCTTCGTAGTTTCAGCGTGAAAATGAATTGTTCGGGGTAGCTTTAAAATTAAATCTGTAGAATTAAATGTACAAAAGAGAAGTTACTAAGCGTGAATAAAAGTAGTTTATACGTTTATAAATATATAAGTTGTTTTTTTAAGAACCGTCCAGTCCATTTTAGGAGTTAATTTTTGAGATCATTTTATGAGGAAAAGTTCATATGTTTATTCCTTCATAAAATGACTTGAAAAGTCAACTCCCGAACTATTGGACGGTACTTAAGAGACACTCTGTCTTTGCTTCATTAATTTATTCGCTACGACGGTATAAAATTTGACGTCCCTCTATTAATTATTTTTCCCCATGTGGGGGCTATCTAAATAGACGCAAACTATCTTTAAGAGCGTCAAAATAATATGAAAATTTCGACGTATTCGGGTATTCTGGCGAGGTTCTCGGAAAGGAAAAATATCCACATATAATTACTGTATAATTTCCCAACTTTTAGTTATACGTTAATTATATACGGATATTCTTTCTATGTATTTTTAATCCTTCAACCCTTCGCGAGCACGGATTCTTCGACATCAGAATCGACGTCAAGGAAATCGTCGGCGAACCTTCGAATATTGTTCAGCGCTCACGAGCGCGCACCTTTCGAAGCCGAATCGATCGAAACGGAGGTGATAATCCGAAAGGGACTTGGTTCAGCGAATATAATCCGGCCACGCCGAAATATTCTGGCCGATATCTATTATCGTCTGCCTTGTCGATCGGATCGACACGAAGTTTACCGTTGTCGCGATGCGAAATAACCGA